AAAAAAAAAAAAAAAAAAGAAAGTTTTAAAACCTTTCCCCCCCCCCCCAAACACCCCCCCCCCCCCCGGCAACTTCCAATTGCATTAGCTTGAGATGATGGGGAAGCTAGTTCAACTCTCTGTCCATTGTCTGGTTGGGGAAACCTGTGTTAAACCACTGAGAAATAATTGGGACACAGCAGATTTGACCTGTCCTTCCCTGCTAGAGGTCACTGTAAACAACTGACAATAATGGGACTTCATGATGCATCTTCATGCCTTTGCCTAGTCCCAAGAAATTCACATGAATGCAGCTTTGACTGAAGTTTTCCAGACACTCACTACAGCACAGCTAATAAGGAAGCTTTATCATAGCTTAGACTGTAACTACTTCAGTTTATTGCTCTCTGACAGATGCGGTTGCAGCCTCTTTTGCCCTCCTAAGCTTCAGTTCAGCACATTTCTCTCTCACCCTTCCCATGGCTTAATGGAAATCCTGCTTTGTGCTTCGCATGCTTAGAACGAGACGGCAGTTGTATTGACACTTTCAACATTCCAGCCCTGGGAGACTCTAGTTCCCATGGTTTCTCCCACTCTCACAAATTCTATGTCCTTTGGATAGAAACTGAATCATAAATAACAGCTGTCAAGAACAGAATTAATACATGTATAAGCAGGGTAAGGGAGAGTAGGATAAATTGGAACACGTTTCCTTAAAAGGGACAGGGAAAAATTAAGCAGCAGGATCAACTGGAAAGCATTCATAAGCAGAACAAGTTGTAAAGTGACTGTCTAATTGGACAGTTTGAAAATGAGCCTAGGGAAATTTAGTAATGCTTTAAAATAAAACAGTTCAGGTAGCTAGATTATATGCCTTAAGACTGTACTTCTTTAACATTGACTGAATTACATAACAATTCATCTTTGTTAAGGCTAGACTGAGCCAGCATTCTTCTCTTTTTGATATAAAGCAGAGTGTTGATGACTGGGAAAGAAATAGAGATTGCTAATTAAATTCTTAGCATTTGCTGTACAACATTTCTCAGAATACTTTGAGGGAAAGCATGATAATGAAAATACCATAAGCAAATTTTCTGTAGTGTAGATGGGGACATGGTTGCCGTTCCATTTGGCTTAAAACTTAAAACTTTCATTTTGCTACATAAAACATGTAGCTAGAATAATTGATTTACCTGTTGTATCTCAATGTTTCCCTTTGCTTTTGGGGGCAACAATCTATTTCTGAATAGAGAAAGAAAGGGATTCTTCTAAATTTCTGAAAATTGTAATTAGGAGCTTTTTATGGAGGTTATGCTATAATTGCATTTATTCAATATGAATTAATCATGTAATTTAATAATCTTACTTTATTTCAATTTTCTACCATACACTTAGGAGGGACACATGGAGAATTCCAGCAAAGTAAGCTATTGTACCATGCTAAAGATAGGCAACCTGGTGCCCCTCCAGATGTTTCAGCTTCAACTTCCATCAGCACCAGCTGACATGGCAAATGAGAAGAGGTCATGGGAGTTGCAGTCTCAAATATCTAGCACACAGAGCTTATTTTTACTCTATACTGTATTTTGGGTGTGTGGTTACCATTCTTTTTTACATTCCTCAGAATTTGTCATCATTTTATACTGATGATATTCTCTTAAAGCTATTAAATTATAATTATTTGAATCACTCTTCTGGAAACTAACATATGAAATTAGCTTTCTTAATAGAAGTCCATTTCTTATACTATAAAGCAGCTATATGGAAGGTTGGAAATACCCACCTATTCTCTTGGCCATTCATATAAAGTGGAAAAGGAGCTTCATAGAGTGACACTGGGAAAATCATGAGGAACAGGTTGGATGAACTTATCTCTGCATGAAATAGTTCTTGCATATATTGAGTTGGTGGGAAAACTGTGCGCCTTGGTCAACGTGTGAAGAGACTCACAATTCTCTACAATGGCAGTTATATACTTTCATAACGCAAAAAGGGGGAATACAAAGTTATTATGGACTGAAACGCTATTTGTAATAGTATACCATATAGATCAGGAATGCATAACTTGAGGCCTCAGACTTTAGGGATGCTGACCCAGAACCTGCAAAGATGAATGCCAAACCGTATGTTTAATGTGTCAGAAAGGGAAATGTATGAACTGCTAGAGAGTGGTTATACCTGTAATTAATTGATTAAAATTAAATGAAGTCAAATTTAGATTGTCTTATTCCCACCTACTTCCTGGAGGGCCATTCCCAGCATGCCATTCAAAGGTCAATTTCAGTCCTTGGGCAGAAAAAGGTTATGTGCTTTTGTTGTGCACCAGCATTTCTATTGCTTCTCTCTTCCCCCCACACCCCAGTTAGGAAAGCAGCAGACTGGGAGAAGAGGTAATTCAGGCCAAGCCTCCATCTGTTGCCATTTACCTGTCCTCAGAGCAGCTGTTTCATTGGGCCTAAGTGCATGATCCTTCAGAATAGGCATCTCACTCTGGGAATGGCCTCTGAGCAACATCTCTTGAGTGGCCATCTGGAGAATGAAGGGTGGCATTTCCACTGCTGGGGAAGGCATGTGAATGGTAGGGAGCAAAGGAGTAGGCCTCAGGCAATGGATCTTCTTGGGGCTGCCCTTGAGAATTGTGCAGTTTGGGAAAGTTGCAAAATTCAGACTATTATATCAGTATAACTAAGTGCTACATTTACTGTAATGTTTTCTGAAAGAGTTCATATAGTCATCACAAGAGCCTAATATCTAACAGTTAACCAATCATTTTGAATCCTTCTCTCCAGTTTCTGATGGTATGTCTTATAGGTAAAAAGAGGTTGTGCCCAAATATCCATGCTTTCCAAAACTTGGGAGCTTTGGAAGGGCTAAGGGCTCTTGTTCACTTGATTAGACCAGTGTATTGCACTGTTTATAAAACAAAACATATAAAACAGCATTTTTGGTTACAATGATGAAACTCCTTCAGGAAACACCACTTTATGTGTCAGATAAAGGACAATCTTAGGATATAACAACATGTATACTATTAAGCCTGAGCAAGATGAGTTCACAGGCAACTAAAGATTTCCATGTCCTATTTTTAGAACTCTTAGTTCCAGATAATGCTGCTTAATGACTTGGGCAGCATTCACTGTATTAGTAATTGGAAAACTAGCAACAACCCACCGTGATCTCTATATCCTACCTATCCCTAAGAGAAACCAGGCAGAATTAGAGCTTGGTGGTGAAGCATAGGTCTTTGCATGCAAACTCTGTCCCTGGCATTTCCAGTTAAGAAGATCTAAGGTCTAAGGCCTGGGAAAGACTCTTGTGCCCCAAGATCCATTGCCATTGTCAGTTAGAATAGTTATAAGGAGATACATGTGATTTGGTATTATCAGCTACACACGTTGAAACCAGTGTTCAATTAAGAGAGTAAACTATTTATATATAATAATTGGGGATCATGAGATTATACAGAAGCCCAAACCATAATTGTCCTAATTATCCATATAGAATGATTCCAGCATGAAAGTTAAATCCTATATCCTGTATGGGATATAGGAAATTTCTGTATCTGTTAAAAACACATTTTTTTATTGTCCCAATAAAAAATATATTAGTTATACCTAAATGTCCTCAGTGGTTGAGTTCAGTGGGACTGAAATGGGAAAAAATTCTCTGGATTCCTCTTTCCCTAAAGTTCCTTATGTGTGTTTTGTTTGTTTCCAAAAAATATGTATTTTCAGGACCCAATCAATTATGTGGAGCTACTCAAATAACAGTGATTTTAATTATCCCACCCCATCTTACTAAAGTCTCAATGTCTACTAATATTTCAGTGTTCTGGTTATTATAATAATTCAGGTCAGGTCTCCACATGGTCAACTTTGGGTTAAAAATAAGCTTAGCTAGCTCATGTTTAAAACATAACATATGCCAGTGGTGTTAGTAATCAGTAATTGTAGATTTACAGTTAGTAGGAAGGGTGCTGAACATTTTTTAGAATTATCACAGCTTCAGCTATGCACTACACACTTTTTCATAAGAGAGAATTTCATATAAAGTAACACTGTCTTTTACTGACAGATAAATATATCTACAGGATATTGGCAGTTTGAAAGAAAAAGAAAAAAGTGCAGGGTTTTTCTGTTATTCAAGTAATATCACAATAGTCTAACACCCGTCCTCAATACTTTAATCTCCACCCCAACAGTTTTAACTTTAATTCACAATACGTCAAGACTGTGCTTTTAAAATAATCTTGTTCAGAGTTCTTCATGGCTAGTGGAGTATATTAAAACTTACCTGGCACATACATACATATATACATATACATATACATGTATATATAAAAATCCACACTGCCAGTGTGAAATCCTTAAAACTCTATATATCAACCAGTCAAGAAGGATCAGCTCCACAGTATGGTCTTCCTAACAACACTGGCTAAGCTTCCTGCTAGCAAAGAGGTCCTCAGCTTTCACCTATTTGCATTTAAGTTTTAGCATGACTACATTCCAGGGCAGAAATGATATTTTGAAAGCCCAACCTTTGTAGGAAAAAAAAAAAAAGAATGTCTCTTTATCTACAGCTTAAGCTGTCTAAAGCAACAAGACACCCACACAACACTTCTTACCTTTTCTTTTGGTTTCAGTTTTTTTTTCAACCATCAAGCTTCATATAGAATTAAGCTTGTTTCCACACTACAAGGACATCATTTTTATGTCTATATAGCTCAAATTTGCAATGGGAAAAATGACATTTGTAACTTGTTTTACAGAGCCTCCTCAGCAGGAAAAGCTACCTAAAGAGCCCAATAACATAGTTCAGATCTGATTTTTTTTTTTGCTTAAGCAGCATTTTGACTGCTTTAAAAACAGGACTGTCTTTGTCCTTTTAACTGTCCGTTTTTGCGTCAGAATACTTTTTTTAAAGCGCGTCTGCCCATTCTAATCAAAATTGATTTCCGCCAGCATGTAATGCCCCAGCTAACTGTCTTCCTCACTGCTTCATAATAGCGATCTCCCCAGGAACAGAATTAGCTTCAGAAAAGTGTTTGTTGCTTCATGAATACAGTTATCTCAAGTAAAAACATGTAGGAAGGAAGCTTCCAGATTCTTTAGTATATAACACCAACGTAATTGGCTTCTTAAAAATCTGAGTGAAAAAAGAACACAGTTTAAAAATCAAGCAATAATATATTTTTGATTCCTGGATTCTTCTTAAGAAGTCTTAATCATGAAGCACTCAAATATTGGGTTTATAAATTTCAGCAGACTCTTTGAAAGTCAGTAGAAGGCTGTAAAAATGGCTCTCTGTGCGTACGTGCTTTCCTTTCTTACCAAGCAACTTTTGGCCATGTTCAGTCACAACAATAGAATGTGAAAAAAACCTCCAAATCCAGGAAAAATGTCACAGGTTGTAATGCTGTTATACTGATAGCTTGTTTTGTTAAACAGCAACTTCAAATGTTAATATATTTCTCATAGATCCCTTTGGAATGGAAGTGTTCAGTGTGAGATTAAGGACAAACTTAAAAGTACTGTAATTGGAGTACTTTGGGCAGTTAGCCTACCAGCTCCTGCATCAGGCAAGTAAGCTGGCAAACACGGTAATTTATTGGTTTGGAAAATAAGAGAACTATCACATGCCTACTCAAGAGACAGGACTGTTGTACAAAATTAAAACTGAGTAGGGCAAAATCTCTAGCATACTGACACCATCACGTTGGCACTGCTAATGGTAATTTTGTCACTCGGCAACCTCCAACAGCCGACCTTGTGCACATACTTCATCTGTTCAGAGACGTCATCCTCAGATATTGCCTCAGCTGAGCTTCACCTTTGCAGCCTGGCAGCCAGGCACAAGTTCTGGAAAAAGGCAGCTCTTCTTCAGACAAAGGACATCCATGGAAGGAGTACACAACAATAGGAATGAGAAACGGAAAAGGGAAAGGGAAAGAGAGCAAAGCAAGAAGAATGCAGATTCCCTTCAGGTCTTGTTCTCATCGTACATGTCCAAGACAGGCTCGATCGAAGAGAAGTCATTCTCGTAGACCAGACTCCGAGGGGAGAGAGAATTACGGTGGAAAAAATGGCCGCCTACAAGAGAAGCAACAATAAAAACTGTCTGTTAGAAACAAGAGGAGAGAAATAAATAGGAATGTGATTAACGACATGTTGCCAATTCTTTGTTTTTATTCCATGTAAAATCATCCTGCAGTTAAGCTCCATTTAATAGTACTAGATTATAAGAACTGGTGGAAAATCAGAAAAAGCAACATATTTGGATATATTGCCCCCAGAAATACTAGAAAATATAGCTCATAAGACATGAGAAATATTAGACACGAGAAATATAACTTTAAAATATAACTTTAAAAACAAATATGCTTATCAGATCATAAGAAACCCTTTTGGGTTGATCAAGATGAATAAGAACCTTCTTAGATGAAGATGGTATTATCCTATCTACCAGAACATACTTTAGCAAAGGTTTATTTACATGGAACTCCTACCTTTCTACTCAGTGTCAGACTGAAATATTTGTCTAGTGTCTATTCTCCAAGAGATAATTAAAATTGGCTTTTTCCAGCAAGGGTATATGGAGGATGAATCATAAGATTCAGAATGCCATTTCAGCTACAAACTCCCAGCAAATCTTTATTCCCCAGCCACTTCCCTTTTTTATTCTACCATGTTCCTGACTCCCAACTAGATTTAACCCTACCAATAAAAGCAACTGAATTCCTCTTGAGGTTTGGGATAAACTCTTCTATAGCTTATTCAAAGTACTTCTAAGTCATATTTGCACATCCTGCTAACAGATGATCCCCTTCCCGAGTGGTGTCCAGTTTCACCCCAGAAAGCCCCAAATTAAAGTTCATTTGAAAAACAGCAAAGCTCCTGGCAAAGATTTAATTCTACCACCATTTCTAAAAACAAATCCTGCTTGGTGGGGGTCTCTGCATTAGCCCCTCTTTTCACTGCTATAAGTAATTCCTTATATATCTCAAAAGACTGGCTTAATTCTGCCACCCTCCCAATATATAAAAAAGATGACAACTGTGACCCTGCTAACAACCAACCATTCAGTCTTTTATCTACAATTAGCAAACAATATGCTAGATTAATATTGAATAAAATATTGGAGTTAATGCTATCAGAGAATATCTTGGCCACTGAGCAGCCCACATTCAGCTCTGGATACTCAACAATGGATGAATGCCTAATTTCACATCACTTAGCTGAGACTGTACTCCACCAAAAAGCATCATTTATGTTACTTTTATAAAGGTAGCCTTGACTCAACACCATATGACAGAGTCTGGGAGAAACTAGCTGTTACATCAATCAGTGGTTGCCTCCTTAAATTGATAATAGCATTGCACAATGGTACTGCCACATAAATTAAGGGTAATTGCAATGGTGATATAACTGAACCTAACCCCACCCAAAAAGGCATTAACCAAGGATTTATTCTTGCCCCATTATTGTTTAATTTGTGTATTAACAACACTGTTGAGCATTTTTGCTAAGCCAGAATTCCATCTTCCATCTTTT